CCCCCAGAGCTGCTTTTCTCCTGGGAGCCCCCGGCTAACGCTTTGTGCTACGCTGCCCGCAGGCCGCACAGATTGTGCTCATCGCCTTGTTCGAGCTGAACACACCCGAGTTCACCATGCTGCTGGGAGCCTTGCCCAAAACATTCCAGGATGGAGCCACCAAACTGCTTCACAACCACCTGAAGAACTCCAGCAACAGCAGCAGCAACGTGGTAGGTGTTAGTGGGCTGTCCCCATCCTGATCCACTTTTTAAAATAATCTATTCCACTTTGCTAAGTTGTTTCCTGATATCCGCTCGGTCATTTTCCAGCTCAGCCTTTAGCATTAGCTTTAGCATCTCTGCCCCACAGCTCTGAGTCCTGACCATTAAGACGGCCATGTTAATGTGAAGCTATCGGTAAAATGTCAGCTGTGTGGGATTATCTGATCCTTAAAGAGGAAAAAGACCAAGAGCTGGATGTAAAACATGCTGGGGACGTCTCTGGGTGTTGGACTGGGGTTGTTCAGCTCCACAGCTGGGGCCACCGGACACTTGCACTTTGACCCTTAGCTCCTCTTTTCCTTCTTTCAGGGGTCTCCAAGTAACACCATTGGCCGGACGCCCCCGCGCCACACTCCCAGCAGAACCAGTCCTCTGACCTCGCCCACCAACTGCTCCCATGGAGGGCTGTCCCCAAGGTAGCCCCGCCCCCCCGCCCTACACCTGCCTACTGCATGGCTGTGGACTGAGCTACTGTCCAGCTGAACTGGCTGAGCTGCTCAGACAGCCTGGAGAATCAGTCCAGAGTTCAGTGAGACAGAGGCCCACAGGGCCACTGGACTCTGGCTCTCTCTCTGAGACTGAGCAGCTCATTCAGCCCTACAAACTGCACCTTTTCAGTCCTTTTTTCTGCCGGCAGAAACCCACAAACTCTCCATCCGCCATGGGGCTGTTTGAGTTTACAGGAAAAAACAAGTAAATCAGAATGGAATGGGATTCGCTTTGTGGGATTCTGCTGCTTTCTATACTTACTCCCCTTTGGCCTGTAAGCTCAGACTGGTTTCTCTTTGTCTCCTCTCTTCCACCACACTGTGTTGTCCTCTCTCTCCTCCCCTCTCGTCCTCCGTTCTCTCACCTCTGTCTGTCCATCCTCATGTCTTGGCCACTCATGTCGTGGCAACAGTCGTTTATGGGGATGGGGGGTCGAAGGACTGTCAAAGCACCCCCCCACCCCCCCCACACCCCCTCCGCCCCTCTCCACCCCTGCTGCCCCGTCCCTACGGGTCCTGCGCAGAGCGTACTCTCCCAGGTAAAGAGGCTGAGCCGCGCAGCAGACCGGAGGAAGCCGTCCTGACCCTCTGCAGACACTTTGTTCTGTAAACCAGTGGTCCCCAACCACCGGGGAGGGGGGGGTTATATTATGAATATGATAATGAAGGTGAATCCACTGGGTACTGGTATCCAGCTTTATTTCTCCTTGCTAAATCCTCCGGGTCTTGTCTTCTAATCCGAATGTGAAGCTGTTTGAAGCCTCATCAGAGAGCCGCTCGCCGCTTATATTATAAATATATATTATAGATGAATTACTCAGAGGGGCCTCAGTCTGTGGGGATAAATCCATGTTTCCAGTAGAACTTCTGGTGTTGTCTGTTAAAAGCTTTTATTTTCCTGGAAGCCATTTTATTCCTCCGTCTCTTCTTTGGGCCTTTTCCCTTCCAAAAGAAACTTTCCAAAGACATCTGTTTTTACTTCTTTTTCTAACTTATGGGTTAAATTTTGGGAGCTCAGGTGGCCGAGATGTAACCCAGAGTATCCGGTCGTTTTTCAAAATAAAGGATTTGACAAAATAAAAGATTATTCAGACTCGAAGAATAAATACAACGGAAATACACGGGACCACTGCTGTAAAGCCTTCATTTCTCTATGACTGAATAGAGCTTTTCTAATGGACTCTTCAGTGGAGCGGTAGTGGTCCCCAGCTGAGCTTTATGTTAGTGGCAGCCTGCTGGCGCTCCGTGTGACCCCATGAGCCTCTGTCCTCTCTGTCAGCATGGTGGAGTACGACACGGAGAACATGAACTCGGAGGAGATCTACAGCTCGCTGCGCGGCGTGACCGAGGCCATTCAGAGCTTCAGCTACCGGAGTCAGGAGGACCTGAACGAGCCGGCCAAGCGGGAGGGCAAGAGGGATGACGCAGTAAGTCTGAGGGGTCATGGTGGGGTCACCAGTCCATCACAAGGACCAACAACCACACACACTCACACTAAGGGTAGTTTGGAGTCCAACAACCTAACATGCAGGTTTTTGGAGGGTGGGAGGAAGCCGGAGAACCCGGAGAGAACCCACAGACACAGGAGAACATGCAGACTCCACCCAGAAAGGTTCTGGTTCCCCCAGGACTCCAACCCAGAACCCTCTGGTCCTGGTTCCCCCCGGTACTCCAGCCCAGAACCCTCTTAGTCTGTGTTTAGGGTAGTCGTGTGCCTGTGAGCTCACAGGCCTCGTGTGTAGACATCTGTGCCTGTGGAAGCCCAGAAGGACTCATCTGCTGCCCCCCCCCTCCTGTCCCACAGGCAGGCAGAGATGGAGTGGCCTCCTCCCCTGGTTCTGATGGCCGCCTGGGCCTGGACGTGGAGGGGGGGGGGCGCACTGCGCTGGACAACAAGACCTCCCTGCTCAACACGCCGTCCCCCCGCTCCTTCTCGGGGCCCCGGGGCCGGGAGTTTGCCCCCTACGGCTACGGGGAGAGCATCTGTGCCTACGACAAGAGCGCCCTGAAGGAGGCCGTGTTCGACGACGACGTGGAGCAGTTCCGGGACTGTGAGTGGGGTTTGGTCCGAGTGGAGCAGCTGGTGGGGGCGGGGTTAAGTCTGAGGGCTGCCTCAGGACGCCTGGGTGCATGCTGGCCATCAGCTCCCATCATGTGGACCACCAACACTAGGCCTGTCCCGATCCGGTATCTGGATCCAATATTTGTCAAAAAATGTCTATCAGCCGGCAGGAGAAAACCCAGATCCAGACTCCAGATCCAGTTTTTAAAATAATCCATTCCACTTGGCTGTGTAGTTCCCTGATGTCCGGTCATTTTCCAGCTCAGCCTTTAGCATTAGCATTAGCATCTCCTGCCCCACAGCTCTGAGTCCTAACCATTAAGACGGCCATGTTAATGTGAAGCTGTCAGTAAAATGTCAGCTGTGTGGGATTATCTGATCCTTAAAGAGGAAAAAGACCAAGAGCTGGATGTAAAACATGCCACAATAAAGTTAAGCGTGGTGGTAAAGCTGGAAGAAACTTTAATACAACCAATCTAATCAAGCATTTAGAGAAATACCACCATAAACAACATGAAGAGTTTCTAAAGAAAACCGTTAGTTTTCTATACTTTGGTCTGTTTAGTGTTTGTCCCTGAATAAACAGCTCAGTGTCTCTTTACCAACCAGTGTGTGTTATTCAGACTCCCCTAACTCAGCTGCTAGTTGTTATCAGAGTAAATCCCTGTTCAACAGGAGTCTGACAATAAGGAAGTAGATAAATAACTTTAGACTTTAGGGTATGCTCTGATAGGCCGGGATCGGATCGGGACGTCTCTAGTCCATCAGTGTGATCATCTCTGCTGTTTCTGTGACATACAGGCTTTCAGTGGTTGTTGTGGTCACCTTGTTTTCCCTACACCCCTCTCTCATGTCCCCCCCCCACTGTCATCCCTCCTACACCTCCCTCCTCCACAGGCCGCCGTCAGGAAAGTGGTGAGAACAAGATGACACTCCCCAAGGTCTTTGCTCCTGGTAAAGAAACTTTTCCTCCCAGAACCACATGACTGCCCTCCGCCTGTCTCTGCACCCCCCCCCCCCCCCCCCCTTTCTTCCTGCTCCCCTGCCTAGGTCTAAACGTGTTCAGCTCCATTCACTTTAACATCAAACCACCCAATGTAGCTTCTGTAACGCCTCCAGGTGTCTTCCCACCTTGGACTTACCAGATCAACCCCATCTGATCCAGACTGCAGGTTCTGGGCCATGTTCAGAGCCAGGAAATGTCTCTTTCTTTTTGACATTTTTTATTTTTATTAAGTCAGAGCATTACAATACAGTGGTAGTTACTTTTCGGCCACTCACAATTATTTTTTGTGTGTAATATGCAAAGTTAAGTAAATTACATCTAACAACTTTGAACAAACTGGGGGAGATGGACCTTCATGGAAAAGCAAAAAATAAATTAAAATAAAATGTCCACCAAGGAGTTTTGAAGTAAAGTTTGAGAGACACATTAATCCTTAGATACAACAAAACATTCAAATAGAATAAAATAAATAACAGCATTGTATTTCACCCGTTCCGTCCTGTCTGTTCAAACCAGCACATTTAACCCACTTGGCCCCCTTTTAGTGAACAGGAGGGAGAGGGAGATCCTTCCCATAAGCTAAATATAATTTACAGTACTTACCCTCTCCAAAATTGTGGGTGGATCGGGGGCCGACCAGCGTCTTGTGAGTGCATAATATAAAATAAATATTCATCAGCTTTCCTGATCTGCAAATAAAAATTTCCTAAAAATAATGTTGAAAACTGCACAGGTAGATTAGTATTAATCAGAATCAGAAATACTTTAATAATCCCAGAGGGAAATTATTTAATTATTAAATAGATATACCACTTAATACTTTAATACTTTATTTGATAATTATTTATATTATATTATATGTTTATTTTATTATTTATTTTATTTGATATTTGTTTAATACTTTAATACTCTATGGAGCTGTGCCCAGAAGGGTTTAACCACTGGGCATTCCCCAAAGATCTGCCAGTGATTGGCCTCCCGCTGTCCGCCTTGCCTCCAGGAAACGTCTTTTTCATAGCTTAAACCAACCCAGGAGTTTGGAGCTGCTCTGTTTGGCGCCGTTACACACCTCTGAGGAGGGTCCTGGTATATTGTGTAGACATTCAGCCTCAGATGAGAGGGGGGTTGGGCTGTCCTGCAGACTGCCTGAGGGTTAGGGTTTGGGTTAGGGTTAGGGTTAGCTGTGTGACTCCTCTCCCTGTGTGCCTCCAGTTGGCCAGGACCACTCCGACCTGGTGGCCGACCTGCTGAAGGAGCTGTCCAATCACAACGAGCGCTCGGAGGAGCGGAAGGCCGCCCTGGTGGAGCTGCTGAAGATCACGCGGGAGGACAACATGGCCGTGTGGGACGAGCACTTTAAAACCATCCTGCTGCTCCTGCTGGAGACCCTCGGGGACAAAGACGTAGGTCTTCCTGAGTTGCTGGGAGAGAACCAGCAGACTGAAAACCAGAGATGTTCAGTAACAAAGTAGAACTACTTAAGTACCAAAATGCAGTATCTGTACTTTATTGGAGTATATGTTTTTCCCTACTTTTAATTTTACTCCACTACATATTTTTGATTAATTTAATACTTTTACTTTTACTTTCTCTGGCTGAATCGTTACTCGTTACTGAAATGTAAACGTAACGAATCATCCCCAGAGTCAGAGCCAGAGCTGTAGGTAGCTCTGTCAGGGTTTGGGAAGCCGGCTCCTCATTGGCCGGTTTGAGCCGTCAAGCATAGCCTATAAAAAAAAGCCTCCCAAAAGATTGTAAAATCATGGCCTTCAAAAATTCCCCATCTAATCTGAAGAAGCATATCAAGGCGACATATAAGCTAGTAAGTAAGCGCTAGTTCAGTTCTCCCTGTTCACTCAGGATGTAGCAGCTAACATTATCTAAAGCTAACTTAGCTGGTTAGCTGTATGCTACATGCTAGCATAAAGGCTCAGCTCAGGATTCTGACTCTGGAATAATAAATAATAGTAGATGAAGTGCTGTTGATGCTAATGCAGATGAAGTTTTCTGTTTTTGTAAACACCTGTATGTCCTTTCACACGTTTGAAATAATATAAACAATATCTATTACACTTTTGACTGCCTTTTTTAATATACACAGTACTTGTACTTTTACTTATACTTGTACTTTCTATACTTGAGTAGCAATTTTTGAAATACTTCTACTTGCAATACTTTAGTACAAAAAAAATGGAGTACTTCTGTACTCCACTTAAGTATGGTGTTGAAAGAATACTTCTACTTTTACTCAAGTCAATTTTTTTATATAGTACTTGTACTTGTACTCCAGTACTTTATATCTCTGCTGAAAACCCACCGCTCTGTTTTCTGCTATCCCCCCAGCACACCATCCGAGCCTTGGCCCTGCGAGTCCTGAAGGAGATCCTGAGGAACCAGCCGGCCCGCTTCAAGAACTACGCTGAGCTGACCATCATGAAGACGCTGGAGGCCCACAAAGACTCCCACAAGGAGGTGGGCCGCCCCCCCATGCAGCCCGGGCCGTTCAGGGCCAGATAGCCAGATGACTTAAAGCTTTGACTCCCACTGTGAAGCCAGATATTAAACCTGCTGATTCCAGATTAGTAAACAACCACCTTCATATTTTTGCTGGCTGAAACTATAACTATATGTAAGCCTAGCTGAGCTCCAGCCTTTGACCTGGAGCTCAGGAAGGCACGGGCTGCCCAGGTTTACTGGAGGTCACGTGGTAATTTTCCTCCCCTGACAGGCAGGTGTGCAGTCCAGTTCAGAGAATAGGTCAATAAAGCCTCCATGTTGATAACAAACTGAACAGGAAAAACCCCAAAGCTCTGCCAGTTTAGGGCCGAGAAGCAGAATAATCAGCTTCTTCCAAAAAAGGGTTTTACTTTGAAACACCAGATTAAACCAAGCAGGCTTAAAGGAGGACTTTTCTCTTTCTTTGGCTGAATGGGTGGAATAATGACTTGTTTTAGGTGGTGCGGGCGGCGGAGGAGGCGGCCTCCACCCTGGCTGGTTCCATCCACCCGGAGCAGTGCATCAAGGTCCTGTGTCCCATCGTGCAGACGGCCGACTACCCCATCAACCTGGCTGCCATCAAGATGCAAACCAAAGTCATTGAACGCATCACCAAGGACTCCTTAGTGCAGCTCCTGCCAGACATCATCCCGGGACTGCTGCAGGTCTGGCTCAGCCACCTCTCACCTGCTCTCACACTGATCCCATCTCTTTTCCTTCAGGTTTAGTTTAAGATAAAAGTCTACGGGTTGGTGACTGTGAACCTTGCAAATGTTTGTCTGATTCCTGGAGTCTTGGAGAGCAAAAGGCCGCATGTCGGCTCCAAAAAGGCTTATTTGGACAATGGTCATATTTGGACAGTGGGAGCTATTTGCCTTATTTGTCCCTGGAAATGTTTGCGTGTACTCTGCTCTCTGTGCAGCTCCTCCCACGTTCCCGTGACCTCCCGTGTGTGTGTGTGTGTGCACGTGGTTTCTGATGCTGTCTCCTGTGGTGCAGGGCTACGATAACACAGAGAGCAGCGTTCGCAAGGCCAGCGTGTTCTGTCTGGTGGCCATCTACTCCGTCATCGGCGAGGATCTCAAACCCCACCTGGCTCAGCTCACTGGCAGCAAGGTACCCGGCGCGCCCACATGCACGCCCACATGCACGCCCACATGCACGGCCACGTGCACGCCCGGCTCCAGAGCCCTCCTCAACAGACGCGGGGCCTTATCATCTTCCCATGTTGTTGTTCCTGAGCCGGATCCAGCCGGCCGGCCAATAATGAGGCACACGGGCAGATTTGGCCCACTTTCACTACAACGTGCGTCCTTGAGTTATGTAAGGAGGTCTGAGGGTCAGGCCCACCTGACTGGGGGGGTCCGGCCCCTGATGGTCAGCCGGATCCGTTTCTGGGAGGCTTTGACATGTGGGATGGAGACACCACGAATCAGTCCCAGATCTGGAGCTGGATGGGTTTTTACAGAAACATCCAGATGAATGTTCATTTAAATCTGACACACAAAATTAGCTTGGGTCAGAAACAGTAGCAGCCCCCCGGTGGAGGGTTTCCGGCTTTAGGGGTGTGAGGGCCTGTGCACATCAGGGCTGGTTTCATGTAGAAATGTGAGGCTCTGGGCCGCAGCTGTAGCCTAACGGGTACAGCGGGTGGACCATATTTGGAGCCTCTGCTCATAAGCGGGCGGCCTGGGTTCCATTCCAGCCCACGGCCCTTTCCCACAGGTCTCCCCCTCTCTGTCTCTGCCCCCCTTCTTGTCAAGCTACTGTCATTAAAGGCCACTAGAGCCAACAGAGCTTTAGAAATGTGAGGCTCTGTGTCCCCTGGGGGGGAATGCCCCCACATGGGGGGGTTTCCTGGGGAGGGGCCATGACCGTGTCCTGTCTTTGCAGATGAAGCTGCTGAACCTGTACATCAAGCGCGCCCAGACCACCAACAGCAACAGCAGCAGCTCCTCTGATGTGTCCTCCCACAGCTAGAGGCCCCCCCAACCCACCCCCCTCCCCGTCAACAGCTCCGCCCTGCTCCTGTCCCCATGGAGGCCGTCCTGTGGGCTCCCTAGCTCCCCCCGCCCCCCCCTCTCATCCGGAGGCTTCCCCACTTCCACAGCAGCCCAAACGCC